GCATTTGTAGTTCTTAAAATTAGAAGTCTAGTTGATTGTGCATCAGGACACTTGGCTTCTTAGGGGCATTAAGATCAGTGTTCCTAGTCTTCCACATCTGGCCATGAAGGAAAAATTGCTATGGGACTTGCTAGCCTATTGTGAACAACTAGAAAACTGGGCAAAATATAGGAAACAAATGTTGTCAGACATTGGACAACAGGCAGAGCAGGACTGTGATTCTCAAGAGAAAGGAAACAAATGAGGTAAGAGCTACAATGACTCGAGCTTTCTGCCTGGAGGCAATTCCTGCACTGTACGTGGTAAAAAGAAGGGAAAACAAAACAGAGCCTAGTTGTCTTGTGGGGTTGAGGAAACAAAGATCAGAATTCAGAGAGGTCATAGCAGCTAGAATTTGTGGGGCTGAGCTGTGGAGAAGAAGAAACTCAACAGAAAAAAACTTCAGAGGTTTCCTTAAGTTACTGAGCGCGTACCAATCAGTGTCTGCGTATGGTGTATGACCACAAGGTTGGGCAAAGAGTAAGTCCTGAAGAAAGAACAACTACTGGGGAGCTGTGCACCAAAACGTTCCCAGAGCTCACACAGAACTGGGAATTGTCCAAGTTCCTAGCAGCCAGGATCACTTTATTGATTACTTGGAACATTCATTAGAGCCCATAGGTGACTCATACCTCAGTAAAAAGGTGAAAGTAGCCACGGAGGTAAGGCTACCCTAGAGCTGTCCTAAACAGTTTATAAACAAGTCTCAAATGGTGAAGCTTATTCTTAAGAATAAAGTCCAACAACCTTTAAAGAAATTTAACAAAAAAACCATCACTCAATAATATAAAATTCACAAAGTCTGACACTCATTAAAAATGAGACAAAGAAGCAGGAGATAAATCAATCAGTAGAAGACTAAAAATCGACAGAAATGATGGGATTAGCATACAAGGACTTAAAATAGCCATTAAAATATAACTATGACCTGAGATTTAAAGGAACACATGTTATGAGAAATGGATGGTATAAAAAGAACCCAGTAAAACTTAAAGAGGTAAAGAATTAAATATCTGATAAAAAAAACTTTCATCAATAGTGTTAACCATAAGTAGATTAGATTAGAGACTACAGAAGATAAGAAAACTTAAAGAAATATCAAGAGAAGTTATTCAAAATGAAGCACAGAGAGAAAAAAGAGTGGAGGTGGGGGGGTGTGGTGGGGAAAGAATAGATCCTCAGTGATCTATCAGATAATATCAAGTGGTCTAGTGTATCTATAATTGGAGTCTTTGAATTTGAGAGAGACAGTGAATAATAGGTAAAATATTTAAAGATATGATGGCCAACATTTTTCCTCATTTGATGAAAATTATAAATGTACAGGTCCAAAACCAGTGAGCCTCGATGGGATAAACATAGGGAAAAAAAACAAAACAGCAGAACAAGGTACACTACAATCATATTGCCCAAAACATGTGTTAAAGAGAAAACTCTTAAAGCAGTCATGGGGGAAAAAAGGACACATTATATACAGAGAGAGAAATGCAATCAAACACAGACTTTTCTTCAGAACTTTTACAAGTCTTGTGACAGTGTCTTATGACAACAGAATGATACCTTTAAAGTTCTGAAAGAAAAGAAGCTCTCAACGAATAATCACGTACCCAACAAAAATGTTTCAAGAATGAAAGTGAAGTAATGACTTTTTCAGATAAAACATGAAAGAGCTCATTGCCATCTAACCTGCACCTACAACAAATGACAGCAATAGAAGTAAAGATGGGGGATGGAGCATACTGTTGAAAGTGTGTTGCATTATATCTGAAATCACATTATTTTAAGGTAGACAGTGATAAGTTTCAGATGCATATTGTAAATCCTAGAGCAATCAAAAAATAAAACAATCAGTATGTCTAATAAACCAAACATGGATATAAAATGAAATATGAAAAAATACTCAATTCTTCAAGAAAAAGCAAGTAAAGGGCAAAAAAAACAAAAAAAATGAAGAACAGATAGAACAAACAGAAGTAGCAAGATGTTACATTAAAAACTCATCATATTGATAATTACATTACATAAAAATGGTCTAATCCAGTTTCTCAAACTCAGGGCCAGATAATTCTTAGTTGTGGAGGACTGTACTTTGCATTGTAGGATATTTAATAGCATCTCTGGCTTCTATGTACTAGATGCCAGTAGAGACTTCCCTCACCTCTGCCACTGTGACAACAAAAATGTCTCCGGATATTGCCAATGTCCCCAGGAGCAGAACTGCCCCCATTTAAGAGCCACTGATCTAAATACTCCAATTAAAAGGCTAAGAGCATCTAACTGAATGAAAAGCAAGATCCAATTATATTCTTTCTAAACAAAACCTGAGACAATCCACTATAATATAAAGACAAAGGTTAAAACTAAAAGGACAGTTTCCTTGCTTGGACTTAAGGCATAACCTGGTCCCTTTGTGCTCCAAGGGTCTACAACCACTGCTCTATTTTGCAGTATCTGTAGTGATTCCCCCAGCCCTCTCCCACTATCCATTTGCTTGTGGCAAACCACAAGTACAGGCATAATTTTAAAAGACGTGAAAAAAACCTCTCCTCTCCCGTGCATTCAGTCACCCAGTTCTGGTCCCTGGTGGCATCTACTATTACAGTTTCTTACAGTTTCTTCAGTATTCTTCCAAAGATAGCCTATGAATTTGCAAATGAATACAGGGATATTTTTTTCCCCACAAATGATGACATATTTACACAATGTTCTGCACATGTCCCCCTCCCTTTAGTATAGGTTAGAAATCTTTCATACCAGTACATAGAAATAGATGTAACTCATTTTTAAAATAGCTGGATAATATTCCATTGTACTGATGTGCTGTAATTTATTTGAACCACTCTCTGTTGATAGACATAAGCTTCTAATCTTTGCTAGCACAAATAATGTGTACTATATATCATTCCACACCTGTGTTGGTATATCTGTAGGATAAATTCTAGAAACAGAATCTTTAGGTCAAAAACTATGTATGTATTTGTTATTTGGGGAGGTATTGCCAAATTATCCTCCGTGGAGGTTATAGAACTTTCTGATTTTTGCTAATCTGACAGGTGGAAAATGCTGCTTTGTATATGTACTTGATTTGCAGTTAGGTGAGCTTGAATATTTTTTCACGTGCCTGAGTCGTATTGCATTTGTTTTCCTGTGAACTATCTCTTCAAATCCCTTGAGATGGTCATTTCTTACTAATTTATAAAAGGTACAGTTTGTGTTCAAGTAACAGATGGATGGTCATGTCCTGACCAATGACCTTGACGCCAGCATCAACACATCTGTCACCTGTCTGTGGATTCATTAACCCAGGTATGGAAACTTAGCTCTGCTACTTGCTGTGCGACCTTGGGCGAGTTGCTTAACCTCTTTGGCTTTAGTGTCCAAGTGCAGGGCATAGGGTCTCGCTTATCCGCATGGCACAGAATCGCACCTTTAAACCCAGAGAGGGAGTTGGTCTGGACCTGTGAGTCAACAAAAGTACGGACACGTTTCTACGCGGGGAAATCTTGCTTAGGCACCGAGGCCCGCACGTAACAACCAAAACCGCGGAGTTCAGGAGAGGCGCCGGAGAAAGTAAGGCCTGGCTACTTAAAGCCGGAGTTCTCCCTTTCAAGAGAGCTGCCACCCGGCTAACCAAGAAATAAAACTCGCGCAGAAGGGAGCCGCTTTCCTCGTCGAGATTCGCCCTTTCCACCGCCCCTCCTACTCAGACGCGCCCTCCCGACCAGGCGGAGCGCGCGGGTGCAGCGCGGG